GGCATAGTGGTGAACATTTCTATTGTAGTTGCATTAGTTCCACTGGATTGCATATTCCAGAAGGACATAGATGGAGATGTTTCTATAAAGTCCAAGAAGGCATGGGATCAGGGACTCAGTTTACAACAAAAACGCTCTCAGGATCAAAATCCAACAAACCCTGATAATAGATACACCCGTTAACATAGATCTCTTGAGTAACTCATAGCTTTGTAAACCCATTGGAGAAGATACAGAAGAACAGTACTTGCAGTGGTACGATGTCACGATACATGACAGCAGAACTTGCAACTGAGTTTTCTACTATTTCTTCAGTGGTAATCTTTTACTAGTACTAATTTTATATAAAGCCATTTATCATTCCCTACAATCCACTTGCCAAGACTCCCAAAAGGATTGTTTTCTATTACTCCCAAACGAATAGAAGCCTGATAAATGATCTTGCAGTTAAAAGAAAGCTTTGATAAGTGACATGAGCTTAAAAACATTGCTTAACAAAAGCCCTGCCCAAAAACCTCACTTAACAAAAGCCTAGCCCAGAGCATACACCCTGATATTGCTGCTTTAGTTTGGACACTGGAGTTACATTTCTGAAAATCAATTATTGAAATAGATGAGGATTGGAACTCTTATATTCAGATGATCCCAAATCCATGATTTTTGCCCTTATTTACCTACAGTAGCTCTATCTACATGGATGTGTTCTATCAAACTCAAAGAATAGCTACATCAAATCAATAGGTTTTTTTTTTCTAGCTGCCCTAGTGAAGAATGCTAATCACTTATTAATATATGTAACCTTCTATATTTTAACACATATCCAAATCAAGGATATATTGAGGATATTGTAAGTTAATTAGCTAGCTTTTCTTCAGTGGTGATCTTTTACTAGTACTTAATTCATATAAAGCAATTTATCATTCTCTACAATCCACTGGAGGCAACACTGCCTAAAGGATTGTTTTCTATCACTTCCAAGTTTTCTCCAGGATTTAGCATCAGAATTAGCCAAATAATGTTTTTTTGAAAAGAAATTAGCGAAATAATGTGGAATGCTAAATAATGTTCCACAGTGGATAGCACCAAGTTAATTCAGTGCAACACCAGATCAAAAGGTAATGTTCAGTAAGCTTTGCATGCTTTGGTTCTCCAACTAAACAGGGAGACATGACAAAATATTACAATCTTGTGAACTACAAATTGCAGTTTTTTTTTTACTAAAGAAACCGGCCTCACATTGAAACAGCCCGTCACTAAGGATCATCATCAGATTCAATCACTACAACAAACAGCCATGGAAGTTTATCAACACGAGCACATAGAACAATACCTTTCCGCACTAGGAGGTTCATCGTTAAAACTAAAGGTTTCAATTGATCCCTGAGCAGCAGCATCAGGAAAAATATCTACATTCCCCATCATTTCGTCTGCGTGGCAACTAGGCTGAACAACGAAAGAAGGAAAAACTTCAGATCGATCACTGGGAGTGGGACATTTCAGAATTGATGCATAACTTCAATACGCGGCTAAAGAAGAATTAATGACACTAATATCCACTTCTCCATCATCCTGAAACTAATTAATCGCTGGGAGTGGGACACTTCAGAATTGATGCAAAACTTCAATACACGGCTAAACAAGAATTCATAGCACTAATATCCATTTCTTATCATCCTGAAAGTAATCGCTGGAGGTGGGACACTTCAGAATTGATGCAAAACTTCAATACGCGGCTAAACAAGAATTCATGGCACTTATATTTAAATATAATATCCATTTCTTCGTCATTCTAAAACTACACGTCAAGTGCAAGCGTGCAACCTTTGGACTGAGAACTGATAGAATAAATGACCTCAGGGAGTCAAGAGTTCAGAAAAGAAAAACTGAAAAATCTTTTCAGCTCGAACCAACCAAAGGTAGGAGACGGCAGGCGAAGGAAACCGATAAGGTGATCAGCATGGGAACCCAAGTTCCGAATTTGACCAGAACCCAACGAGGAAGAGAGTGGATGTAACAATATACTGACCGATCCGATTGGAGCTTGCGGCGGCACCCTCCCCCACCCGCACCATGGAGATGGAGTGAGCCCGGCCAACGGCTGTGCTCCACGTGAAGGCCGGGGCATCAGGACACGCGGCAAAACTGCAGGAATGGATGGATCATAATACAAGTGTTTTTTTCCCTGTCTCAGCTCTCGTTAAACTATAAAAAGACAAGGAAGAACAAAAATTTTTATTTTTTATTTATTTTATTTTTTATTTATTATTATTATTATTATTATTATTATTATTATTATTATTATTATTATTATTATTATTATTATTATTATTTATTTAGCTGCTGCTGCTACTACTGGCTAAGGCACAGCAACGCTAGCCTACTAACTCGTACACGTTCCAACTGACGTAACCGTAGCACGAGGCCCGCCAAGAATATCAGCGCGACGCGCACGGCCACACCACCGCCACTGCTGCTCGTCCTCCTTCTGGGAGGACCGAAGGAGGGGATGGGGAGAGAGCTGGGATCCGGTGCAGCGCCGGCGAGGAAACTGGGTCCCGCGTACAGCATGTGCGGCCCCTCCTCCACCCACGGCACGCGCATGCCGGCGCACCACTTCTTCCCCCTCTTCACCTCCTCTTCTTCTACTTCTTCCCCCCTCGCCACCACCACCACCACCTTCTTCTTCTCCTCCTCATCATTCTTCTTCCCCAGCTCCGGCTCCGGCGACCCACCGCCATTCCTCTCCTCTTCCTCCCTCCTCTTCTTCTGGAGGTCCCACCGGGCATCGTCCGGCGAACCTCGGGTCCTCTTCCGGAGGTCCCACCTGTCATCGTCCGGCGACCCGCCGCCGACGCGACGCTGCCCAAAGTCCCACCCCTCCTTCTTCCTCAGGTCCGGCGACCTCACGCCCTCCTCCGCCGCTCTCTCCTTCTTCCTCGCGTCCCACCGGGCGTCATCCGGCGACCCACCGCCGACCCGCTCGTGCCCGAATCCCCACCCGCCACGCGCCCTCCCGACCACCAACGCCGCCATCACACACACACACTTACCTCTCTGGGCGCGCAGAGAAGCGGGAAGCGGAAGCTCGCGGAAGACAGACACCTGCAAACCTGCACAACAGACAAAGCAAACACGTTATAATATCCGAGGAGAACTTGTGTGAGCTGATCCACCTTTTAAATTCATAACTGCGTTCATAAACCGGCGAGGCGGTACTAATCAAATACTACATTCGCCGGCGGCGGATGTCGTCGGAGGTGCCGAGAGCACGGGCGCGGCGTGGAGACGGAGCGACACATATGGCCCCCGAGCGACCAGAGAAGGAGGAGAAAGGGCTTGGCGCCGCGCCGGCGCGGGCGACGGCTGATGTCAGGAAGGAGAAGCCTCGACCGGCGGCGAACTCCTCTCCTCTCTGTCTCCGGCGCCGTCTTCCTCGCCATCTGCCGCCTCCCTACCTTCATGAGCCTGGAACGGCGGCCACAAGCTTCGATGGCCTGGAGCTCGTGGCCACCCGATCCAGCGCCCAGCGGCGGCGGCGGAGGCGAGCGCCGGGGGAGAGAGGGGGACGAGCGGGCGAGCAACGCCGTCGTTCCGAGCGGCGACGGGGACGAGGGCTTTTTTTTTTTTTTTTTTTTTTTGGAGGTTAGTGGGATTAGGCTGGATGGGTGGATAGTTAAATAGAGAACAGCGATGTGTGTTTATATCGCTATCGCTTAAAATTGTGTGGCTGCATGTGAAAATTGTGCAAATTGCTCCTATTTTTTTTTTGGAAATATGGAACTGATGTTGTCTTTATAAAAAAAATACACTTGGATTTAAGAATACATCAAAAAAAACATTCACGGGACAAAAACAAATCTTTTCTGCTACAATCCCGACGAAGAGGGTTGAAGGCGAGGGGTCAGCGCGTACCCTAGCTAACCCTACCGCCACCCGCCACCATCATCTCATCTCGCCGTCTAGGCAACATAGGGCTCCACCCACCACCATCAGAGAGAGAAAAAGGGTAAGCGGCCTTCTCGGTGACTCGGTGTACACGGTAGGCTCTGGAATGTTCGCTGCCAAACGCCATAGAGAGATTGGTGTTTGCTAATTTTAATTCTTTAATGATAACCTTGTCCAAAACAACAAGTATTGTCAACCCGGAGGGAGTAGCAATGTACTATAGAATAACAGCCGAGAAAATATTCTCTCAACCTTTATATGTTTTATATCTTTAAAAATTTATATATAATCGCCCTATTCATGTTTTTGAAAACTTTCATATCACCGTACCAATATCACATATTCGCACCATTAAATTATTAGAGTAACATAAAACGAAATAAGTCATTAGCATATTAACTATAAAAAAAGTTTAGCAATTATTTATTTAAAAATTATATATAAAAAGTTCTAAAAACACATTGCTTAGCAATTCAATAAACGTGTAAAAGAATAAAGTAAAGCTGAGTAGAGAAGCTGATTTAAACGGTGCCTTAGTATTAGTCAATTTGTTGTGCATTGGCATTATTTGTCATACTTAAAATTAAATTCCGGTTTTGGCACATATCTACACTCCTATAAAAAGACGCTACTGCAACTTTTGTATTGTTTGGTTTGATATCTTACCAATTTTTGGTGTTCAAATTTTGTTAAGAGTGGTAAATTCTAGCAGAGTTAGATAAGGTTAAAATCATGTTAGTTTGTTGCCTTACCAAAATAAATTTGTTAAGGTTTATTACAGCAATTAAGTGAACAAGAACTACGTCTGTGTAGAAATGGTTACCAGCAAAGATTCTTCATTGCCATTTGAGCAACTTCATATTTTCTCCATAAGATGTTCAAGCGTAATGCACTGGTTTGAGGATTTCTCCAAGGCGTTAGACTAGAAATCGAAGCCAATGAAAGATGATTAAGCAGTAAGCGACAGAAGCGCATTTAACGTCAGATGATGACTGGTGCAAACTCTGATGAAGCCGAGCACCTAAACTTGCAACACCACTCAACATCAAAGCACAGAAGAAAATGAAAAATTTCATGAGCAACCAAACAGATGGGCTTCAATGTCTCAGTCATGACGTTGAATTGCATGCAATTTTCATAAGATGTGAATCCCACTAGTGGTATAATCGCTAATTCGCTACGTTTACAACTTCTTGCCCTAGTACCCCAAACAAAAGATTATTAAAATTGGACATGAGAAGATACATGTAAGGAGCATTGCCAGGCACTAGCTGCTAAACTGCCGATGCTGCTGCTCAGATAATCTCCGCCATACCATTTGCCAGCAGTATTGCAACGTCACTGCACCCATGACGCATAATAGTGGTGTACCAATTACGCAGCCCCCAGGTGCAAGATTGATTAGTGTCTGAAATGAACAAATGGTGTAATCAGGCCAGGCCCAAATTCAGCAGTGCATTGTGCAAACCATACTTGATTACATGAGAAGATCAAGAAGAAACATTCACATGTCATACCACATGCTACTCAAATAATATACTACCTCCGTTTTTTAATGTATAACGCCATAGACTTTTTAATCAACGTTTGATCATTCGTCTTTTTTAAAAAAAATTGTACAAATATAAAAATATTTAAATCATGCTTAAAGAACACTTACTGATAAATCAAGTCACAATAAAATAAATGATAATTACATATTTTTTTAACAAGATGAATGGTCAATGTATCTCAAAAAGTCAACATTGTCATATATTAAAAAAACGGAGGGAGTAATTAATAAGTTGGAAATATAAAAGATATTACAACAATATATGGTGTGATATAGATGGATACTGATGTCATAGTTTCATGATAGAAGAAATAGAAAAATGCTCCAACTTTCCATGCAAGATGAAGTTGTTTTCTAAAAATATGAAGTAGGTAAAAAGATTTTGTAACTATACTTCTTTCGAAAGCTAGTAACACCTATTAATGCATTTACCTTATACATGATATTGTATATTTTTCCTACATCTTGGGGCAACATTTCACTGTTTCAGTTTACTATAAAGTTATCTTGATGCCAATAACAGTCAAATGCTAATACATTTCCTTTATATTATACCATACAGTAGTTTAGCACATTCCAAAAGACATGACATCTACTCTGCTGAAGCATTGTTAGGTCGAGCTAAGGAATGACCTGACAAAGCTTCAACAGATTAATATGTTTCCATGATTTTGTATAGCCGAACCTATATTTTGTATGAAGAAAACAATGAATGCTGCATACAACATTATGAAAATACATTAATCTGTTGAAGCATTGTCAGGTCTGTCATAAGAGATGCTCAGCTCAAATAAAAAATTGAAACCTAGTTCTTACCATTACAGAAGCAATCAGATGAACAACTGGGACAAATACTTGATCACTTCTCTTTCTCTCGTCGTACCCATTAAAAGCAATAATCATTGAGAATGTGTGGATGACCAAGAATCCAAGAGAAATAATGGCTGCAAACAGCACACAGAGATAACATCATTATGCAATACAAGTTCAGCATAATACAATTTTGCATCAAATATCACCCTGATTTATGAAATTAAAAAATATGTTGACAAATGAAAGCACAACATTAACAGAAAGAGTTGTATTATAAAATTGTTTACCACCAATCCAATTAGAAGGAAGGCTTCTTTTCATTCCTAGAGCCCAATTCGTATTAGAGAGTAAGGAGAAACTATGACTTACCTGACACAAGGAAAAATGGCATCCTTGAGCACTTTTCAACATAAAATGTAGCTCTGCCGAATGCTGGAGTTAAAAGGCTGAGGCAGAAAAAGACGGCATGAGCCACTCCATGGCCTAAACCACCAGCTGCAAAGACATTTCAAAGTTCAAACAATAGCAGTTATCATTTTTGACTTACAGTGATATGAAGGACAAACGCTCACACTAACCAATAAGTGAATGCACAGTTTGCATTTAGAATATTCAGCTGAGCCAATACCGTAGACCAAGTTTGTGTTTTGATTATTTTCTAGTTTCGAATCACAAGATGAAGAACCACATATGTGTGCCTTGGCTCTGTTCTATACTCCATTTAAAAGAATGCTTGGTAGTTTTGCAGTGAATCTTCCAACCTTACCAACTCAGCACTGCAATTGTTTTACTAAGAATCCTTAATGCCTACCACATATTGCACTTTTTTATGTAATCTATGAAATAAGAACTTAAAACTGGATGGTCCAAGATGACCTATATATGTACTGCAAAGCCTATCGTTTGCAGTTATAATTATGTCCACTGTTAGGTGCACTGTGTAACAAGAATATGAAGAGTATGTCAAAATGTTAAGTGCACCATGTAACAAGAACATGAAGAGTGTGTTGAAAACTTACACTCAGTAGTTTTTAACGAAAATCAGGACAAGTACGGTTTTGTTTATCTGTATCAAAGTCAATGTCAATTTGATAGTCTAACTAAAAAATTTAGAACGTCAGCTTGCAATTATTACTCCATGTTGAAGACATTGGTTGGATATAAGTATGAACGTATGAGGAGCAAGGTAGGAGACACCCTTGATTGGTTGGCCATTGCTGCCACCAAGGCACTAAGACTTGGTTGAGAAGAGAGAGAAAGGGAAGGAGACTAAAGACCTTGATTATTCCTTGCTTGAATATTAGAGAGAGAATCAATCCTTATAAAGATTGGATGACTTCACTACTATGAAACAGATTAGCAAATCTAATCTTATCTCTAAGGCAACTGATGTGAAGTCGTTTGTTGCCATGTGAATAGTAAATAAGTATATTGATCGCGTGATACAGCCACACAGGCCATCCTGCCTTGAAATGGGCCCAAGCCCATGACACATCAGGAAAATAGAAACCTACGGGATATTTGTGAGTTGTGAATAATACAAAGTTAAAGTTTAATTCCTTTTGTGGAAAAAAGTTGCAACTGTAGACCACCTAAAAAAATGGAGGTACCATTCATCCCATATCCAAATGAAATATGTATTTCTTCACAGAAATGAAATGACGGTAAAGATATCAGTGGGTACCTATTTTAAATAAAAATTCAAGGCAAACACAAGCCAAATAGAGAAATAATTTCTATATAAACGATGGATGGAGAAATATTAAGCCAATCTTGAAATAAGGACATATTGATCTAGTGATGCAAGAACTTACCCAACGATATTAGCATCTTGTCTGTCAAACAGAGGCGCGGTTTAGATATTCTATCAGCAAAGGAATCCAGCATCTCTTCCATTTTCCTGAAAAACAGTAACCATCACATATCATAAAGACATAAATCAACTTCAAGTTCCATAATTATATCATCTCTATACATAGTGAATACACTACAGGGACTGCCATAAAAAGGTGTGAAGTTCAACTTTCAATTATGGTTTACCTACTTGTAAAGCCTCCAAAAGACAAGACGAATGCCTTCTTGAAATGCAACAGATGTAAGGATAAGAATTGCATACGGCCACCAAGCTCCTGATCTTATAGGGAGAAATACCCTCCATATTCCCGAGAGAATTATCAAACTTATAAGCCAGAATAAAGTGCTGCACAAACAGAAATTAACAGAATTAACATTTAAATATGAAGATATTACAGTATTTTGTATTTAGAACCTCAAGAATCAGTTTCACAAGTACCTCACATATGTGTGCATATTGTGTAGTAGTTAGTTGTTGTTATGTACTATAAGAGCAGAATTAAGATAGCATGTTGTGTGAATATTGTTACTATCATAACAAAGAGTACTGCTAAATAATGGATCATGTAGCAATTATGGATTTATGATGTATGGAATGCTCAAACCCTGCCACAACAGCAAGGCTCCAATGCCGATGTGGATCTAGTGATTAATTTCGAGTTAATTTTGCATGGAAAAATTCATCTAATCCTTCTAATTTCTAATATGGTGGATGGAGTCATCTTTTTATTTGAAAATATTTCTCATATTTTGGGACCCAAAGAACTAATCATATCCTACTACCCATGGTGTCATCAATAAAGCAGCTTCCTGTCTATGTGTGATCTCCTGGCAGCATGTTTGATAAGGGAATCCCCAAAGTAATGCAGTCTACAACTTAAAATTAGCAAATGTACTAGTACCAGTAAGCACTGGGCCTTTTGTATTTTACATATCCAAATCAAGGACATACTGAGGATAGTGTGAGTTTAATTGCAGGGTGCAGAGGTGAACATTTCTATAGAAGTTGCATAGTGTTGCTGGATTGCATATTACAGAAAGACATAGATGACCATGTTTAAATAAAGTTTAAGTAGGCATGTGATCAGGTATTCAGTTTGTGACAAAAAAAAAACACTTCACACACAAAATCCCCGGATAATAGGTACATCCATAAAGTTAACATACCCATACAGCAGAACTGGCAACTGAATTTTCTTCAGTGGCAACCTTTTACTAAATTTATATAAAGCCATTTATCATTCCCCAACACTACCAAAAAGGCAAAAACATTGTTTCTTTTTTTTTTAAAAAAATATATAAGCTTCCTGCGGCACACGAATTAGCTAATCAATGTCCAACAGTAAACAGCACTGATTTAAATTCACTGGACTCTGCACACCAACATAGGATCAAAAAGTATTATCTGCAACAAGAGTAGGTGTTCAGTAATTCTTTTTCTGCTTTGGTCTCCAACTACCTAGGGAGAGTAGCATCATGTACACAGCCGAGTAATCTAGGATTCGATTTTACACACATCTACTCCTTAATCAGATTCAGTTTTTTTCCCCTAATGTAAAAAGTCGCACCGTATTGATACGACCAGAAAGCAGCATCCAGAAAACGAGAGTAAAATTCCACACGAAACCCTGGCACAATCAAACCAAGGAGGGGGCAGGGACGCACAAATCAACTTAATTCTCATCTTTTTACGCCAACCGAACAACTCCGATGTACGATTTCGCCACCCACATCACAAGTTCACAACGCCAACGATTTGATCCAAAAGCAGAAACAGGGGAGTTCTAAGAGAGGGCTGAGGATGAGGGGGAGAGAGACCTGGTGAGAAGGGTGAGGACGAGGAAGGGCTTCCTGGCGACGACGCCGGCGAAGAGGGAGAAGGCGGGGCCCAGCGCGACCAGCGCGTACCCTAACCCCGCCGCCACCGTCATCTCCTCCCGCCGTCCGGCCAACGCAGGGGCTCCACCCGCGCGCCCACCGCCGGCGAGAGTGGGGAGGGCAGGCGTCTAGCTCCGAGCTGGCTCGCCGGAGGAGGTGGGGCGCCTGCGGCGTACGCCGGCGAGACGCGGCGAAGGCTTCGGAATGAGCAGAAGTGCAGAAGCAGAACAAAAATGTGGACCCCAAAAAGGCCAGTGGGTATGCCCGTAAATTGATTCTCTGTGCCGAAATCTCATGTGTGCCGTGTATTATCTCTCTATCTTGTGGAAGTTATTTGGATGGGGCTACGGATCGGGCGTCTGATCCGTAGGTGTAAAAATTGGACGCTGATGTCAGCATGACGTTAGCACCACGTATGCGTGTAAAACTATTTTAAACTAATTTTTTTCTTAGATTATTTATCCAAATCATGATTCGATTGCACCATTAAATTCATTGCAACTAAATCTTTAAAATAAGACCACACATGGATATATTCCGATGAAAAAAATTTAGCTTATTGTTGAATTATTTTAAATGTTGCACGTTGTTCTATTCTACCAAGTACATCGGAATTATTTCACTAAGTAGATCGAAAATGTTTCAATCGTTTAAATCGGGCGCTGGTTCACCTTATATAAAAACAAATGTTTCAGCAAATAGTGAAATAATGTTTCAAGTCACTACAACATTTTGATCCATATATAATGAAACATTATAAGTACACTAGGTGAAACGTTTTTGGTGGAACAAAAAATGAAAAGAATTCCCTTAATAGAGGGTTTCCATAATATGTGGGTGATTTGTTACAAAATAATGTTTCAATTCACCAACATTAGATCCATACACAATGAAACATTGCGAGTACACTAGGTGAAATATTTTTGGTAGAACAAAAAAAAAATGAAACAGATTTCTTTAATAGAGGGTTTCCATAATATGTGTGTGATTTGTTATAACGGACTATATGGTGGAGACACATGGCAGGTGTTTACGGGGACACGTGGTGGGCTGGGGCAGCATGCGTGCGTCGGGAGGAGGGGGGCGATTTTTTCCTTCCCCGAGCGACCGATCTAAAGGATTTTCTTCTATATATCTTATTAAGTTGACAGGTATGCCGCCGTTGATTGGTTCACTTGGCATAATTAATTATAGAGAGTGAGAAGGGTAGATTAGTTAGCTCCAGACTAGCATATCGGACATGGTGAGGGCCTATGACATATGTAGTCGAATGCCGACAAGAGTCGTGGGGTACTAAGGAAGGAAGACACGATTTCGAATCATTCATTCAAGACCTTACCTGTGTATCTCAAGTGTTAGTGGATCTAGCTAATCTCCATTAGCAACTACTTCCTTCGTTCCAAAATAACTGCTCGTTTTAGGTTTAAAATTTATACCCAAATAACTACTCCTTAATCATGTAGGGTCCATCTCATATATATCTATGTAATGCTCTGAGTTAGTAGTGCAGCTAGGCTTGTGGGAAAAATAAAAGACAGGCACACAACTACTCCTAGTAGCATAATAATCCAGAATGTGGAGGAACTGTTTTTGAAATGAGATACTGTAATTTCGATGCCTTTTTTAGAGGCCTTTAACTGTACCTCCCAGTAGGAGATGGTAGTAGTGTAGTAGGAATAATCCCACCGTTGATTTTTATGGACATTTTAATCATTTGATTAAGTGAGGTGGAAGAGTAATTAAGTAATTGTCCTAAGCATCGTGAGTTTAGCAGGAGGACGGCCCAAGCGTTCCGACGGCCCAAGCATCTCAGTCCATCATTTTCCATTGGGCTAGGCCCAAGCATCTCAGTCCATCATTTTCCATTGATAGCCCAAGGACGTCCACTGCCACATTCTCGAATACTGGCTTGGCCATCTTCTGCATGCCACCTATTATAATCTTACCGTATGTGATCAAATGAATGACTGGTGGGACCGCATGTAGGGCCAGGGATGCTTACCTGAATAATCATCAGCTTATTACTTCCTCCGTTTTATATTATAAGACTTTCTAGCATTGCCTATATTCATATATATGTTAATGAATCTAGACATATATGTGTACCTAGATTCATTAACATCTATATGAATATGGACAATGCTAGAAAGTCTTATAACATGAAACGGAGGTAATAATTGGTATGGACAATTATGAAATGAATGTGTTCTTTTTTTTTATTATAGGTCACACGTACATGCACACACAACACTACACTCACATACCTATAAATGTGCCTAGTAAATTATACATTAATAGAGTAAAAAACGACACATCCCTGATTTCACTAAAGTCCACTTGCACATGTTTCATATTCGTGGGCACTAGGATTTAAACTCTCATGGTTGATGGGTAGAGTGACTACCACAAACTACCATCACACTGCAAGGGTTTCCAAAAAATGAATGTGTAAAAACATTTTTAGAGCTAATTTCAATTTAGGCCACATTTTATTATCTGACTTTTCACTTTGTATCACCCTTTAGAGGTGCAAGCAGATGAAAAGCAGGGGTAGATGTGCTTTTGATTTGTACTACACCAAAAGCTGACTTTGAACAAAAGTAGCTGTGGCTTTTGGGCCCTTTGGTTAGCTTTTGGCTTTTGCAAAAGCAAAAGCAGGTTGAAAAGCCCAACCAAACACACCCTAACTCGTGTTTTCACTTTGGAACGGATAATTTTATCTTTAATTCATTTTGGATTACCCCGATTCTCTTCTCAAGTATATGAACGATCTCAAGTACATCGGTTCCTACTCATCAATGGACTCTCGCAGCTATATGTAAGACTATTTCTTGTCGGCATATGCCAAGTTTGGATGTACATGGATAAAATAGTTAAATATGGTTCACAGTACTATAAAAGGTAAAAATACCTGATTCAAATTGAAAACGTTAGTTAAAGGATGATTTAAAGTAAAATTTACTATTGTTTTTATAATAATAAATACCTAGTTGGTATAATATTTTTAAATAACCCTATCTGAAAATATAAGAAATTTTACTAATTTTAGGACCAAATAAGGATAAAAGAAAATGTTCATTCATCAGTGTTCCTCCAGATAACCCCATATATAACGCACAGATATTGCGCTAGCACACTTAAGATCGTAGCGAATAGCCATCGATTGACATAATTATGTGCTATGATTTTATAGTATTTGTTAATATTTCAATACATTATTGTTAAAAAATACACTATGTAAAATCTATTATGAGGACAAGTTTTACTCGTAAAAATAAAAAATAAAACAAAGAAACTTCAAATATATAAACATTATTTAATGATATTCGGCAGTTCTGCTCATGGATGGTCTGCTCCTGGACAGGCTCACATCAGACACATTCCTGAACGTGAGACATGAAAATCACGCTCCAATTCAGATGAAATTTATAAAATAATGTGTCATGTCCTCTAGAAGAAAACAGTATATATTTTCACAGCATACACCGGCAAAATCATGTTCTTGCGGTATCCTCTAGCAATGATCATATTCTGACTGTCCCACAGGTAACCATTTTATTGGGTTATTTCGGTAGAGAGAAACTGCAAATGAGAAACCCAGCGCGATGTAGATCGAGGCAGGATTGGTGTGGGGGCGATGGCCAGTGGCCGGTGTGGATGTCAGGATCCGGACATAGGAGTTCTGCCGATGCCCTCTGATGTGCGGCGACAAGTGCGTACACCGGCGCGAGCATCAGAGAGGGCTGAGCATAGCGGGATGGAGGGTTCTGACGGGGGAGTGCTCACCGGAGATGTGCCCTTCCCCCTCATCTGCGGTGGATCCGGAGTTGGGGCGGGCTTGGTGCGGCGCTGGGACAACGAAGGCCGGCGACTCGACGGTCATGGAGATTGGAGGCACCCCCAACGTGCCGTGCCGATCGAAAGCACCAGATCATCCCGGCAAAGGGCGACGGACGGCGGTTGGACGGAGGCCAGCGATGCATCATGTCCTCGTTCATGATCGATCCATAGAACCTAGCCATCACGGTCGCTTCCTCGCCTCTCCGGCCGTATCCTGATCGCACGGTCAATCGGCCGTAAACTCTTCATTTATCATCTGAGTATTTACACGAATGCCATGTAGTTTTCTCCCAGAAATATCTTTCTACTACACTACTAAACAATATATACTGATATAGTAGCAATACACCTTGTCCATTGGATGGCCCATACTCATTTTAAGGTACATTAAAAAAAATCCTTTTATTAGGATGCAATTAGTTTTTCAAACTATCAGGGTTTCGTTTTTGTTGCTAGGAGGAGTGATATTAAGGGGCCATGTGTAGTCATTTATTTGTTTATTTTGTTATACTGTACATGGATATCCCAATGCTATTTTTTTATTGCACGTGGGGATCCCAATGCTACATCCTCCTTCCATCGCAGAAGGGTATAAATGCTATTTCACTTTAGTGCACCATCCAAAAGGGACGGTTATTTTAGACAGAGGAAGTAGTATATAATAGCAAGGCCATAAGTTAGCTACAAGTTTATGTTGAGAAGAGAGACCTAGGAAAATGAGAAGTCCTCCAAGATAGATACGTTAAATGTATAGGTTAAAGAAAATGAGAGATCATATAGGTGAGACTGATAAAAATACACAATTATCGTTCCCTTTTCATATTCTTTTTCCAAATCGGAATCGAAAAATACACACTTATCGTTCCCGTTCCCGCCACTTGCCGAATCATGCTACACCAAATTCAGGTCAGATATCTATCGGTAAAGGTTGCTATTTAATGTCATACAATTTGTTGCCAAAGCTTCGTGACAGACGATCTGTCGGTATTTTTTTTTTGTTAGAGACAAACAATCTGTCGGTAAGTTAAAATAGTACGGTCAGCCCGTCGATCGACAAAGCTAGGGTTGTTGATAGTCCCGCAAAAAATTTAGCTGCGCCAAAATCTTTGTTACGCGGGCTATAGGCCAAATATTTGGTGCCTAAAATCCCTTCTACACGGGCTAGCCTTATCCTCTCCGGTCAAAGACCTAGCCTCCCAGTCCACCTTTCTTTGTTGCAATTCATTGATCCCTCATCAGCACCACGCGTCATCCTTATCCCCTCCTCATTCCCTCGCGCCACCTACATAGCCACCCGCATCCCCTCCCCATCCCCTCACTGCAAAGAAGACACGCCACCCACATCACCACCACGTGTTGCCCTCTCCCCCTCAACTCCAAGAAGACGTGCCACCTCCATCCCCTCGCATCACCCCTCTCACCACCAAGAAGGGTGCCTTCCCCCTTGTTGGGAAGAAGAAGGGCGCTGCCACCAATCGATGCCAAGAATAGGGCAACACCCCCCACTGCCACTATGAGCTAGGTGCTAGCCCCATCGCTGGAAATTGCACTACGCTGCCTCCATCACCACTAAGAGTAGGGCACCGACCCCCTATCTCCACCTTCCACCACCATTCTTGATCCCTCCATTTTTCATCGCCAAGCGTGGACCCTCCTACTTCTACCCAGCCACCATCGCACGCCCCTATCCATATCTCATCTCTTCACCGGCAGCCGTTGCCGCCGCTCTCTATTCCATCTCGCTAACCGCACCGCCCCTATCCATCCCAAAATCGAGCAGTAACCATAGGGCCCATCATCTTTGGTCTCAACAAACATCGCTCTTCCTACTTTCTCAGACATCTGCATGCAGTTGTTCTCATCTCTTATACCCATATTTATGTGAAATAAAATCTGTTGGAAGATAAACTTTACTTATGTGATACATCTTTTTTTTACTTTTCTATTGATTTATTTTTTTGGTTAAGAAGCTTAGTCATGCTTGAGTTTATTTTGTATACATAGGCCTGGTTTAGTTCCCAAGTTTTTCTTCAAACTTCCAACTTTTCCATCACATCAAAACTTTCCTATACATATAAACTTTTAACTTTTCCGTCATATTGTTCCAATTTCAACCAAACTTCTAATTTTAGCGTGAACTAAACACACACCCATAGGGAAACTGATCCAGATCCATCCAGTTGGCCGCCGTGTTCTGATCGATCTGACACCTCTCGCTGATGGACTAAGCCTGTAGGCAAGGAACAACCGGTTTCGATTTGAACTCATTCGTTGTTGTTCGTGCTTGTCTTCTCTGGTGCATGATCTGTTTGGTTTGGGGATCCGTTTGCTTATAGCTAGGAGTTAGCTCTACTATTAGACTTGATGAGCAAGGTAAATAGTGCAGCTGCCTAGTGTTGGCTCCAAATACTATCCATGTCATCTACATCAAACAACATCCCGTACTGTTTATTTTATTTTAGGACGGAGGGAGTGTTGATAGGGTTAGATAACCTCGAATTAGATTATATAGTATATCTACCATCTCGAAAAGGTTCTCATTTGCTTGTTTATTAGATATTATGTTTCTCTTCATGCTTAATGCTGCATCAGTTAAGTTTGATCTATTAAGTAATATCTAGAACCATAATCTCTAGCTTGTTTCATGATAATCAATAGAGATAGAATCGGAGTTTCAGCCGATCTTACCTGGCTTAGCTATCTTGTTCTTAATCTATTTACTTGATATGTTAAATCTACCCTTTATATCAAGATATCACTAAGGTAAAATATATTAAGCTTGAGACCAATCTGCTTAGGTTAAACTAAAGATAAATTGATTCTTGTTTAATATATCTAACCTTCAATGATATCTTAGTATAAAGAAGTATCGGAGCAATAGCCGATACATGTTAGATTTACCTATCGGCTATGACATGAGCTTATATAATCTTTACCTTGAAGTATTTTTAGACATAAGTGATTCATACTGTCTCGGTAGCTGTCCGATCTATCCCAATCACTTGGTTTAAACATATTTTAAAGTATAGATTATATATTGCTGATATCTACAGCCGATGCAGTAAAATTAGTCCTTTATTCACTATATATTTCATTGCCAATCCAAATCATATTGCATCGGCTCGATTTAGACGATGCGTCATCGACAATCTAGCCGGTCGGCTATCGTTTATGGATTTAACTTTGGATTCTTTGTTTCTGGTTGGTTATAGGATCAAACCAACTGGCACGCCCTGAACCCGAAAGCAAATCTTTGGACCTGCACTAGAGTAAATCAAATCTTAAGGGCCAATGTGTTTTTTTTTGCATCAACACGCTTTTGGCACGCCTGGTAGGACCGACTTCGACAAGGTTTTCATCATGGTTGATATCAAAGCAAATGATATTGACCCAGACAACATCATCCCAGTAACGTTGGATAAGCTAACAGAAGAACAAAAGGCGAATCTGGAGCAGATGATGAACCAATTGCAAAATAAGTATTTGCTTTCATTCATATTGACCCGGCAAGGTACAGTAATTCAAAGACACAAAGTCACTTTCCCACTCGATGATGAAGGAACAAGTTCTCCTAAAGATGCCGAGCCCAAGGGTGAGAAACCAGAGGGAGATCCTGAAGAGTTCCACACTTTACAAGATCGCATTGATTATGCTATTCATTATGCATTGATCAATCAGTCGGGAGTGCTTGTTAATACTTTAACTAATATGATCAAATTTGTAGTTGATGGCACAATAACTGAGCATCAAGCTAAGGGGCCAGTTTTCCTTCCTAAGGGTGTTTTTCCACAATACAGGACCATTAGTACTAATAATGGTGGTAAATGACAACATATATCTGGAATAATCCCAGAATAGCAGCCTGCAGTAATATCGGCTTTTGGGAAGCCGGGTGCATCAGCATCAGCTCATGGTCAACCAAGTGTTTTATTCAGGCAACAACCGCAGCATACAAGGCATAATCTACAGCATGTCGCTCCAGAGCAAGTTGCTGCACTATTCAAGACAAAGCAACCGATTGTTGAGCGGATTCGCCAGATACTCATTGGGCAACAATCACCTATTCCATAGCAACATCAGCCTATTGGTGCTCAATTCATCCCTGACCAGCCCATCAAACCAACTTTGGATTCTTTGCTTCTTGTTGGTTGTAGGATCAAACCAACTGGCATGCCCTGAACCTGAAAGCAAATCTTTGGACCTGCACTAGTGTAAAGCAAATCTCTCAGGCCAGTGTATTTTTTTTCATCAACAGAGACATCCTTTCTGATGAGCAAATGCTAAAAAAGATGTTGCGCGTAGTGCCACCCCTTATCGACCGAGCAGTTGCTCAATCTCAAGATAATGTCTATCGCGATTCTGGAGGGAGAGCTATTACAGGAAAGGAGAAATGCCTAGTAGGTATATGACCCTGTGGGTAACCATGTTCATCAGTTCATATAACACAAGATATCATGTTCGACGAAGAAGCGAAGTGGGAGTGGGAGGTGAATTAGAGCCAAATAGTCCTAGTGAGGACTTCACTGTTTCCTACACTTTCCACTCCATGTCGAATGATCTACCGTACTCTTAGTCACGTGCTAGGGAGCGCATGATGCCCAGTCATGAGCCGACCTTAGGAGGGCTGACACCGTTTTCTATGTATACGCTTCCTGATATGTTAAACGGTGTAATTTCTTTTTACAAATAATCTATGTAGAAAATTTATTTTGACATAATCATATCAATCTAATTTTAAGTCTTTTAAGCTAATATTTAATTAATCCTATGCTGATGGATTTCCACACCCTAATCTATATTGTTGATGAAAATAACGACACTAGACAATCGTTTGCAACTTTGCCATCCCACAAATTTGCCTTCCTAAGTTGCAACTTTAGGTTGTGTTTAGTTCCACGCCAAAATTGGAAGTTTGAAGAAATTGGAACGATGTGACGGAAAAGTTGAAAGTTTGTGTGTGTAGGAAAGTTCGATGTGACGGAAAAGTTGGAAGTTTGAAGAAATAAGTTGGAATCACCCTAGTCCGGTACATAGAGGCCTGGTTTAGTTTCAACTTTTTCTTTAAACTTCCAATTTTTCCATCACATCAAAACTTTCCTATACACATAAACTTTTAACTTTTCCGTCACATCTTTACAATTTCAATCAAACTTTTAATTTCGACGTAAACTAAACACACCCAGAATAAAGTTTTTTCAAACCAAATTATTGTCGAGGAATTAAATTCTTGACCCAAACCCATGCCAAACAACCGGTACGAGGTGATCAAAGTTGGACTTTGGCATGACCAAGAAAGAAACTCGCACCCCATTCTTCTCCCCCTCTGCAAGCCAACCTAACTAACCGAAAAGCCTTCCTCCCAAATCCCCCCATGCCTCCCAATTCCCACACCTACCCGCCTCACCGCGTCTAGGGTTGCCGCCGCCGCCGCCGCCGCCGCCGCCGGCCACCGACACCTACCCCCCCACCCGCTCTTCCAGGCGCCGCCGCTGCCGCTGCGGGCGATGGCGCTGCTGGGCGACGCGCTGCGGCAGGCGTTCATGCCGCGGCGGGCGTACGCGGCGCTGCGGGACGAGGAGCGCGCGCTGCCGCGGCTCCGCCGCCCGCTGGCGGCGGCCGCGGGGGCGTGCGTGGCGGCCGCGGTGGCCGCCGCGGCCGGGGTCAGCCTCGGGATCGTGTTCCCCGCCGAGCCCGCCGAGCGGCCCTTCTGCCGCGAGCGCCGCATGCTGGAGGCCCTCCCCGCCGCGGCCAGCAGCAGGGAGGAGGAGCCCGAGGCGTACCGGTACCGCGGCGGGGCCTTCTACATGACCACCGCCGAGGCCGCCGACTTCTACTGGATGGTCGTCTTCGTCCCGTCCGCCCTCCTCTTCGCCGTCTCGTCTGCCTACCTTGTATCTGGTGAGCTCCCTGGTTTGGTTGACTAACTTAGCTATCTCTACACGGAATTACATTATTAATGTGATCGGGAGCATTCTACTCGGTTGATTAACTTAGCTATCTCTATACACAGAATTACATTATAAATGTGATCAGGGGCATTGTACTATTGTTCTTTGATGCTGGTCATATTTTTACCAAAAATGGGCATCGGAAGAAAAAATCGGGCATGAGATCATGAGGTTTACCGTGTATCTAGTTATATAGGACTTCAATTGACCGTATTTTCACCTGAAATTGCATTTGACTTTTGTCTGGACAAATCATGTGAAACTTATAACTAATGGGAAGCCTAGTTGTCTCATTATTTTTTCTGAAAGATTAATATCCTTGTGCGGTTCCATTGAGTGAAGTAGAAACTTTAGTGTGTATGATCTTTCCATTTCGTATCTTTATATTGGAGGCTTTGCTGAGAATTAGTCAAGCCCAATTTATGAAAACATTTATGAGCCAATAATTTCATGACTAGCAAAGTATTCATCACATTTTTTTACTAGTGACCAGTGGCAAAAGATTCAGAGCATAATCTGGATCCTGATTGTAGCTGTTCATTGACCATTTCACCATGTATATCTTACCATTTCATCATGTAAATCTTACATGTAAACAACAGGCTGTATTATCTAATTGGATATGATTTGCTTTTCCCTTTTCCTGGCATGCCATTTCTCAGGTTCTTGCAACTGATGCCACATGAACATTTCCTCAGTTCGTACTATAAGAATATTGATTTTTCACATGGCATCTCTAGGGTAATTGTGTGTTTAGTACCTTCAGTGTGACACATACGTTATTATTAATTAATGGTATATTCAAGTTCAGAATACACATGAAAACATAAAATATATCTCCACTATGGACTCATAGAGTCATAGTACACTTGCAAAGCAGAAACTCAGGTTATATTAGGACTTAATTATCTAAGAAATGTGTTATTGACCAAAGTCAAAACTCACAACAGGGTAACTAGAGGTCAAACACTAGATGAACAAGGGGCACTTGGTAGTGAGGAGAGGACTCAGGAAAGGGGGAGTAATAGAGTAGGAAGGGACTTACTGATTGAATCTTCCTTTACTTTATTGATTAACTTTGTATCAGGAGTCAGCTAACAAATAATCCAACCATTCAATTAACAGATAACTCTAATATCCCTAAGCAGCCTTTTTCTCTAAGAAACTAATCTAATCTTATACTGAAGCCCCAGTATGACACGACTACTGCTCTTTAGCTGTCGGTTGGTTACCTTCCAGTCTTCCACCACAGCCACAAGAAAATGAATGAGCCATTTAAGTAACTGATAATGATTAATAATTTTTGAAAACGTGTTTAGAAGGTTTTGCAGACAAAAATCATGGAAATTCTTCCAACATTCTGAAAAGCAAATTTACAGAGGAGGGCAATTCTTTGTGTTATTGAGTATTAGCCATGGCCTTTTATAACTTTCCAGATTTCTTAGCCCCTTAACTAGAACCAGGCTTGAAATAGGATATCAGGAAGTTAGGAATTACCAACCATGAACTATGATCATTTGAAATTTGTTCGAGTCAGACGCACCAAAAGCTACTTACATTCTGAAAACACCCTGAATTCTTCGCCTTTATGATCCTGTCCTGTCCTCCCACTTTTTTTAATGAAATAAGATAGTCTGCCTTAATTTACGTATCCAAATATGATCTAGAGTTCTGTTATCCTGTTGCAAGGTTATTTTGTTTTTGTAAGATTGATGAAATGGTATGAAGTTAAGAACAGAGCAAGGTTCCACCCTGACACATTACCTCATGAAATTTTCTTGGATGCATTGGCCATAGCTGCCTGGAGTTACCTCATGAAATTTATTTTTCTTTGTTCTATACCCATTTTTTCTTGCCAGAAAAGAGTAGTATATTTTTTGTGAATAATTAATCTGTATTTACTTGCAGGCATATCTGTTGCATATGCTGCTCCAAGAAGACATCCATTGATTTGTGTCGTCGAGAATAACTTCTGTGCTTCTAAAAGAGGTGAGTTTATTTCTGCATCTTTACCAGAGATCTTCGATAATTTTGTATCTTGTTTCGGCTATTGAAATATTTAAATGAGTTAGCTTTCTGGGAACATATCTATTGCTTGGCATTCCCCTTGAAGTGCTGAACACAGTGTGGATCACAGTGCAATTCTGGGAAGTGTGTGCAACCAAAAGACTTGGTTCTGATTTACCATCACATGTCATGGACCATACATACATATGGTTTCAATATTACAATCATCTTAAAGATTGATATCTAATTTTCACCATGCAGGCAAGGAAGCCATAAGGTCGATAGGATATTAGAGAACATTAAGTTTTATGAAGTCCATTCATAATGTTTCCTTACCTTAATTTGAAATATAAGTGTTCCACTCATAAATAGATAGTGACTAAAGATTTCACCAACATTACCTTAATTTGAAATATAAGTGTTCCACTCATAAATAGATAGTAAAGATTTCACCAACATTCACATTCTCCAACCCTGTGGTCTTCCCATCTGCCATCTGCCCAGCAACAGACACAGCACTCCTGAAAATCTGTCTTCTACATCATTATTATCCGGGTTCACTTTATCGGTTTAGCCCTTTTGATCGGAGGTCACCTAAATCCTGAAATTTCTCCGAAATTTCTGAAATTTTGAACAAAATTTAGTTGAATTTGAACATATATTACCAAAATTCATGAAAAAATAGAAAAAATGAAAAATTTCGGCCGAAGTAATATCGTATCGGAGGCAGGGTTTCCCAAACCGTTGGGGCCGGGGTTATTGCGCCCCGGCGGTAAGCACGGTTACCGTGCGGTAACTGCAGTAACCGTGAAAAAATCGTACGAAACCGTGCAAAATTTATCAAAAATTCAAATTATTTTTTAAATTTATTTGAATTTAAGGAGGTTACCGTGGTATTTTTATTATCGTACCCCCGCGGTAAGGGCGGTAACCGCGCGGTTACCGACGGTAATGTAAACCCTGATTGGAGGAATTTCGGTCCGAAATTTCCAACCCTGATCATTAGTGGACATCGGTAAAAATGTGTTTCCAAAATTGGAACTTCTTTTCTTCTAGAAATCACTACTAAAATTTGACAATGAGGATGTGATTATGTGTTCATGCATTTTGCCATTAATTATGCACAAAATTCTCACTAGGCAGTCTCTTGTATTCCTGTGATGACATGATTATCTGTTGTGGACAAGATTGAACATTAGTGGCTGCTGTGATAACCATCAACATCCAAGTATTTTGGATAGCTGTCCTGTAGATCTTTTTTGCATCTGATTTCATGATTGTACTGGACTGAAATTTTTAATTTAATCTAATACCTTGTCATGACATCAGTTGTGGAGTAAATTGTGTATGGCTGATGTTTTAGCTAGTTTTTGTACTTACACATTTCTAATACAGCGTGGTAACAGTGCAACCTCCCATTTATTTTTGTAAAATCATATGTTGTGTGGAAAGTTATTGGCAAAAGGTTCTAAACGTGTTCCATACCAATGTTTTTATGTTAATTTATACCTAAGTGCAGCCATTAACACCAAACATGGAAATGCAGGTGGTGTGCGTTGCTTGGCTATACTAAATGCAGTTTTTGCTGTCATATTTGGTCTCATGGCAATTATTCTTGGATCAACGCTTCTGGCTCTTGGAAGTAGTTGTTCTGTTCCTCTCTTCTGGTGCTATGAAATTACAGCATGGGGTTTGGTAATCCTATATGCTGGCACTGCCTTCTTCTTGAGAAGGAAAGCTGCGGTGATCCTTGATGAGGGTGATTACACTCCCCACAATGTGGGTCTAGAAATGCTGGAGACAACAATAGAAGTAACCCCAGAGATGCAGAGGCGAATTAATGATGGTTTCAAGTCATGGATGGGGCCGTCTACTCTATCTTCTGATGATGAGGAGGAAGCTTCGGATGACTATATAGAGCACAATGTGCCTATCCCAACTGCGTCAGTTCAAGTCAGGCAAGAGAATGATCTAGAGAGTTGACTAATGTATAAACAGATGTACATAGTGCTCCACTTATTCCTTGATGTTTGGTAATGTTTGTAAATGCTTGGCGTGGGTTTTGACTGCTAACAAGTGATTTTGTTTGTTCTTTTCCCCTAGAGGAAACAAATGTTGAGGGTTAGTTAGCCACTGAAGTTCATACAAGAGGTTACCTTTTTTTCCCTGTACCCTTTCCTGTCAATCCTTTGCCTTTCCATTGTTGGGTCATACGTGTTGGTGGAAGGAGTAAATAGCAAGCAGTTGGCAAAATGTTGTTGGGCTTGGTTGGTCTTTACTCTTGAGGCAATTGCTTCCTTGTGACCTGAGATCTCTGAAGTGCCAAATGAGTCGAGCAAGAGTTGCTTAGGTGAATTGTATATTATGTCATAAGCATGAGACAGTTGGAAGTTATAAAATTCCATCCTTTTCATTTTCCAGTATATTGTTCTTTTGAGTTGTGCATGAATTGTGTTAAAGAGTAAAAGCACGATATAGTGCTAAATCTGATGTGCTACTGGGCTTATTTCAGATTTCAGATTTTTTTTTTGGCTGGCTACTTTCTGATATAATCTTATATGCTTTTACTTGCACAAACCTACAAAAATAATCTGTTGCAGTTTACAGTGTGACCTAAGTTTGGATAAGAACCAGGCATTTCAAGATGGGAAACCAAGTGTAACAAAAAGATTAGTTTGAAACAAATGAAAGAATACAGTGTGTGTTCCCCGTCCACCCAGTTACATACATACATCCCAAGGAGTTCATCTTCTCCTTTTTTCAAGAGAACTCAGAACTGCTTGGTACAAACCAGTACTAGTTACATGATCAGTAGCAATGGCGTCGAATTGCAGGTATTGCAGATGAAACCACCTTTGTTCTTTTCCCCCTCTAGAATAAAGATGGAGAAGGAAGAAAAAAAAAGAAATCAATAGTAATTACCTCCCAGCATTAATTGGCATTGGTAAGAAGAGATTAGATGCTGATTAGATTAATAATCAAGCTGATCTCTACTCCAGTGTCGTCGTTGATCTCTAGTGTCCGTCGAGTTCGGTTATGTACAGCGTGCAAGAAAGCGGCGGCGCCGGTCATCTTGTCCGACTCCGGCGATGGTGCCGATCATCTTGTGCGTGTGAGAGAGAGTGTAATGGCGGCGGTGGTGGTGATCAGTGGCGCGCGGAGGGGCTCCTCATGCCGCCGGCGGAGAGGCTGTCGACGTAGGAGAACTTCTTGGGGGCGAGGCTGGGGGCCTTCTTGAGCTTGGCCTCGCCGGCCTCGTCGAGGGTGCCTTCCTCCTTCTTCCTCATGAGCTCGTCCTGGTCGAAGTGCCACCCCATGAAGTCGTAGAGCGTCATGGACGCCGGCGCCTCGTTGAGCTTCTCCAGCTCCTCCATGGCGTCCAGCTTCCTCGCCGCCGCGTCCCCGTCCATCAGCCTCCTCGCCGCCTCCGTCGCCGTCAGGTTCTGCGCCGCCGCGTCCGCCCCCAGCACGTCCTCTATCCTCGACATCACGCTGTACGCCAGGCTCTCCAGCACCCTCGAGTAGCTCTCCAGTATCGCGTACCCCACGTCCTGCCATTGATGACGTCATCAGACATTCAAGATCACCAATCGATCGCCATTGATGGCAAGAATTAATCAAGGTGCTACTAACCCGGTTGTATTGGATCTTGGAGATGTCGAGCTGGGACTGAGGGGTGCCGGGGAACTGGAGCTTGAGGAGGTGGAGGATGGTCTCGGCGCGCTCCTCGAACTGCTCGCGCTTCTCGAAGCTGATGATGGAGCCCCACGACGACTTGGCCTCCTGCTTGGTCTGCATCTTGCGCTTCCAGATGATGGTGGACGCCTCGATGCGGTTCTTGAGGTCGAGCACCTTGTGCTCCGTGGACAGGTCCACGCCTTCCAGGAACTCGATCGGGTCGAACTCCTCGTCGGTGATGCTCCGGTAGATGGCGTCGCCGAGGCTGGTCTTGCCCTTCTTGGGCAGCGACTCGATGTACACCTCCGGGATCTCCATCTCCACCAGCACCTGCGCGTTGATCGCCATGGCCGCCTTCAGCACCTGGTTCACGCACTCCTTCTGGTACTGCAGCCACTTCCTCGTCACCTCCGATAGCCCCTCCGCCGGCACCTTCACCGTCGGCATCCACCACTTGTCGTCGTCCCTCTTGTTGTCCCCTCCCTTCTCGTACCAGAACTCGCTCTGGTCCACGAAGTTGTCCATGTACCCCTGTCATCTCCATCTCCATTAATTAGCGCCATGGCGGAAGAAATCAAGAATTGAGAGCAAGAATGGAGGTTAATTATACGATGAGCATGGCGTCGAGCTTGCGGAGGGCGGGGACGTTCATCTGGAGGTCGCGGCGCTGGGCGGTGGACATGATCTCCATGGTGGTGCCGTTCTCGGCGGTCTGGCGGGTGGGGACGAACTCGACGATGTGGTCGGTGACGGAGAGGAGCCACCCGACCTCCTTCTTCCACCGCTCCTTGGTGTCCGGCGCCATGGGCTCCAGCTTGCGGTGCTCGCCGAACACGGACGCCGCCAGGTTCGTGATCGCATTCGACAGCGCCAGCGCCGACGACACGCCCTTGCCGGTGCCGGACATGTCCTCGCCCAGCAGGAGCTTCGCGAACCTCTCCTTCATCACGTCCAAATCTGCCCCCCCAGATCAACACAAGAATCGATCAATTTCGCGAACAGATTGATGGCGCATCAAGAACGAGATGAACCAGAGAGTTTGAGGGGGGGTTGTACCGGAGGGCGGCCCGTCGCGGCCGAAGCGGGAGCGCGGCGCGCCTGCGGCGGCGGCTCTCCCGTTGGGCAGCGGGGGAGTGCCCCCGCTGCCATTGCCGTGAGGCTCGTGCATGTCGGCGGTGTCGCTGCTGCTGCTGCTGCTGTCGTGGCTCAGCTGGCGATGGAACTGCGCGCTGTTCTTGTCGAGGCTATGGCGCCGGAGGAACCGCACCATCACCCAGCCCACCGCCTCGAGCTTCGCGCGCAAGGCGTGGGCACGTGGCACCCGCCGTTCGCTCACCGCCGCCTCCGCCGCCGCGCCTCCTCACGCTCGCCGCCGCCGACACGGCCGGAACACGCACGCAGAGATAGCAAAACCCACCACCACCACCAACCAACCAGGGCAAGATCGAAGGAAGTAATCAAGCAAAGAAAAAAACCAAATCAAATCAATCAGCTGCTAGGGGGAACACGGACATGCCACGCACTACGCACGGCCGGCCGGCGGTGTGCAACAAGAAGAAGAAGAGAATGGCGGACGACGCGGCCTCGCAGCTTATAAAAAAATTTAAAAAAAAACAAGGGAGAGACAAAGAAGGCGCGACCGTGGCGCGCCTCTTGCCTAATTTAAGCCGCGCGCGAACGTGGGGTGCATGTCGCGCTCGCGCGCGCTCGCGGCCGGATTTGCGATGGGAGATGAGGAGGGGGAGGAGGAGGAGAAGAAGAAGAGGAATCTCCTCAATGGTGGTTGGTTGGTGGGGGGATCTTGGCTTTGTTTAGAGAGGTGGTGAGGTGGAGACGACGGGAAATGGAAAAAAAGCCCGGGAAACGGGCAGGAGAACGCTCCCGCCCACTCCGCCGCGCCCGGGGCCCGCGTGGGCGTGGCCGCCCACTCTTTTTATTTGCATGTTTTGGCAATGGTGTGGAGAAATCCTGGCCGTCCAATTCCTGATCGGACGGACTCACGGACAGGATATTAATTTAAGATCGTTTATGAGTACTACCTTTGTTTTTTTTACTATGTCTAATTATTATTATTTTCTAACTATATAGTAGTAAAAACTATTTTAAAAATTAATTATATGAGGGTGTTTTGATGACAAATTAATCTACCAATACCACTTTCTCATATCAAGTTCTAATATCGTTTATTAATTAATCATTTTCTCATGTGTATTAATCCCAATAAACATGTCTAATGAGATTTCACTAGAACAGATCGAGGTAATAGAAACAAAGCATATATTTACGCTCTGAGATTATACCGGCCGCATGGGACTTTCGTTAAGATCATCAAAAGATAATTTGGAAGCTTAAGATGCCGCTTAATATATGTGGTACTTGCTTAAAAGGGTGGTGTTAAAGAAAGATAATTAGCAAGAAAAAACTAGAATGGCAGCTTAAGATGTTGTTTCTATATGAAAAATGAAACAATTAACCATCTGTTTATCGATTGCCATTACGCAAAATTCATATGGAGAGCAGTTCAGTTTTCTTTTGGCTTATACGTTCCTACTAGCATTTCTCATATTTTTGATGGGTGGCTGTTAGGGGTGGACAAGAAGAAAAGTAAACTTATATTGCTGGGAGCTTTCTGCAATATGTAGGGCTCTGTGGTTGTGCACGAATGATATTGTTTGTGATAAATCGCCATCTATTTCATATATGCAGGTAATTTTCAGGGCAACATATTGGCTCCGGTTTTGGGCATGGTTACAAAGGTCTGATGAAGATGGAGATCTTTTAGAAATTGCATGCAGAAAGCTTGAGTCGATGGTTATGTAGCTTTTTACCAATTATGGATGGAGATTCTCAAATAGACTTCAATAATGTGTTCTCCATATATTTTATTGGTTATTTTTATCTTTATATGCTGGTCGCTATTATTTTTGGATTACGCTTATTTTGAGTGCTAGACTGTAATAATGGGCTGTAGTTCTTTTGAGAAAAGGTCGGAATGTTATATTCTATTATCTAGAAAGAACTGACGCGACAAATCCAAGTAGTATGATCGCATCAACTTCTGTGTGACTTACTTGGATAATAGAGCAAATTTACTTGCATTTCAAGATACTAGTAAATTACCTATGCGCTTCATTGAAAAAAAAGAATCGTGCTCTGTATATTATTGCACGCTCATCATTTGAAGGACATGTAGATTGACTCATTCCATATCCTTTAGCTATATGGAATTTTCCCTGGAGATCTTACCAAATAATATGAACATTATTTTTTTTAGACATTGTTCTTTTGGAAACGTTTAAATTTATTGAGTATGTGGGTTTCACCAACACGAAGAACCAATACGTTAATAATGGAGATAGTGGTCATAGATTCATTGCCACCACCACTAATTTGCAGAGTAGTGTAGATACATTTTACCTATTTTTACTCTAGCGCCACCTTTAGCCGAATTTTTAGTATACTAGCAAGATCACATTTCGCATTTCGTGGCTAGATTGGTTGGCAGTCCGGACGATGCATGCATATTATTGCTCATTATATATGCTGTAAACATCAATCCTTAAGGACAAATAAATTCATAATATATATGAGAAAAACATGAACATACCAGAAAAATAACTTATAGATCAAAGTCTCACAAATAGGATAACCACTATGTCGACGATTAAAAATGACAAAAATGTTATATAAAAAGAAAATTTAATACGAACAAACTTTTGACAGGTGGAGACAATTCTTGCACCACATGTTTGATTAACCTTTATTTTTTCAATTATGAATGGTTGACCCAGATATATACATAGTGGCCAAAACTTTGTATTGACAAGTCAACTTATGCTTAGAAATTTTATGAGGAATATGCGTATTGGTTATGGCCTCTATCTAATTTATTAGGAGATACACTCTCACACTTTAATTATAATGCAATACAGACAATTCCTCGTGTCTCTCTGAGTTTTCGCTCTATCCCTTCCCTTTCATGCTCTTGCTTTTGGGTTTTCCCTTATCTCCTGCATACCCCCGTTTCAATCCCCTCCATATCTTCCATACTCTTGAGTTTGTCTTATCACCGGCCTACGCCCCGTTTTAATCCTCTCTATACTCATTCTGTCATTTGGCCTTGAGTAAACCACTATATTTTTGTTAAGAAAAAACACTATATTGCCTCTCATTAGTTTATAAGTCCTAGCTTCTTATAAAAACTTACTTTTTAAGTTGAAAAAATAATTATATAAAACCAGAGGAACAAAACTGTTTGATGCAAAACTTAAAAAAAAATTAAACTGTTTGGAGTTAAATAATTTTATTACATACGATTTTTAAACTGAAATAGTTCTCATGTTGAGAATGAAATTCTTTAATCTAGCTAGCACTTTTTTTTGAGCAAACAACAGTATAGTTATTTCTAATAGACAACTTTGCTGAAATGGGCATAACAGGAATCGACACGAAAACTCGACGGTATGTATAGGATAAACTTGAGGACATATATATAAGACACATAACGAAAACCTAGGGACATGTAAGGAATTATCTAGATAATATCCGTGGACGCTATCTATTTAATACGAAAAAGTATGAGACTAAAATTCTGTCTTTATTACTACATAAAGAAGAAGAAGAAGAAGGAGGAGGCAAGTTCTATGGCCCTTGCACGGCTATTCCCTATGCTGTCCTAATCTACACCAGTCCCGCTTAACTTATCCAGTTATCCCCATCTTTGCTACTCCCAATCCCAATTCGAGTATATTTCCAGACAAAAAAAAAATCGAGTATGTCCCATCCTGTCTCTCTATACGGTGTTTCCTCTATTAACCTAGCATAATTTCCCTGTTTTTTTTCCTAACGGAGTACCATACTCCTGAAAAACTGAACAAGCCCGAGTCCGTTGAAAGTCCTAAGTATATCTTGCTGTAACAATGAAAATAAAATAAAGATATACAGGAGAAAAGCAATAGTCAATTGTATTTCTATTAGGGACGGACTGGAACAAAATAAAGAGGGTACTACTTACTTAGTTTACTTTACTTTGACCGAATTTAAGCTTATGTAGGTGCCTAAGTTTATATTGAGATGGGTGTACACATAGTAAAAATATGAAAGCTATAGCTTAAAAAAAAGTTTTCTTGACCGAAGTTTCTGGGCATTCCCCTCGTATACTCTAGTCCCACCCCTGTTCCTGTACGACCATGCACTTAACTTAGATAATACATAGTTCATTATTTTCAATTAGCGTATCTCATAAAAGATAAAACCCATACAATTGATCCCCACGAACTTTAACTAAAGCTAATTTTCTGCTACATGAGGAGGCCATGTCATCCCTTTCTATCCTAATTAAGCTGGATGAGTGCTTGCGGTTTGCCTATTTTACCTCGTGTAACTGACCCTCTATGCAATTAATTCCTCTTATGAAAATGCCATCATACGGGTGGATCAAAATTCCTTTCCTAGCTAGCAAACACTGATTGTGTCAACTCACCATTGGCACTCGACAGTAATGTGGTGCTGACCATGAGTTTTGCAGTCCAGTTGCTGCATTTTTGGCTGCTGTTAGTCAGTTGCTGAATTCAATCTTGAGTGTCAATCATAGTATTTTCATAACTTACTAGTTTCGAAATTGAAAATCATCGACTTGTAACAAGGACAGACTCTTATCTTAATTAATTTGAACCATTTGGGCCTTGGTCCCCTTAATGGATGACTAGATTTATTCACTATTTTGGGGATTAACATGGAAAAGTTTTCGGGCTGACATATATCTATCTATCTATCTATCTATCTATCTATCTATCTATCTATCTATCTCAAGTCGGTGGTAAAACTAACAGCTGATTGGACCACATGGCATAATTAATTTTATGATAAATATGAGAAGCATTAGTGAAAAAATAATAAAGAAAATATTCAGATTCCAGACTCTTCTAAACTATTTGCACGGCTTCTTCAATTGATTGAACTGAACAAATGGGAAAAAAATTGACCTATTCAGCTACAAGGTTTCAATGTTCGCGGATGATGTAGCTTTCTTCATAAGACCAGCACTCCAATCATAGATTGAAAACCTAAAGACCCTACTAGCTCTCTTTGGTAAAGTCTCAGGGCTACAAAACAATATTCAGAAAACTGAGATCCCCACCATTTTGTGTGCACATTTGAACATTGAACGTGCCATACAAAGCTTCCCTGGAAAAGTAAATGCTTTCCCAACAACTCATCTAGGCTTGCCCTTGCATCCAAGAAAGCTATGCAAGATTGACTTTGTACCACCGTTGGAAAAATTTGGATCAAGAATTCAAGGACGGAAAGGGCGCAACTATACCTCAGTGGGAAGAAAAACCCTTGTGAAATCAGTCCTTTCTTCAATGCCAATTTACTAGCTAACTTCCTTGCAAATTCTGAAGTGGATCATAAAAAAATTGACCAATTGAGGAGCGCCTTTCTCTGGAAAGGAACAGAACCGGAGAATACCCACTCATGAAATAGCCTGCTGAACTGACAAATGGTTTGCCGACCAAAAGACCTTGGAGGGCTGGGAATTCTGGATCTCCAAAAATTCTCGAGAGCACTACGTGATCAAATGGAAAGACGATTCTAGGCTATGGGCCTCAATGGAGCTTCGCTGCAATGATGTAGATCGCAAACTCTTCCATGCATGCACAAAGATCTTCCTTGGAAATGGTAAAAAAACATTTTTTTGGAAAGATAATTGGCTTCAAGGTCAATGTCCCAAAGACTTGCCAAATCTTTTCAATCTGGCGATAAAGAAGAACAGAACAATCTCTGTTGAGATCCACAACAATTCCTAGCTCACTTCCTTTAGACAAATAACAAATGTTGAAACACTCCACGAATTGGTTCAATTGGGCAATCTACTCACCTGCATCCAGCTTGCTGAAGACATTGAGGATGATATAGTCTGGACAATGAGCTCATCAAGAAACTTCTCAACAAAAAGTGCATAGCAAGCACAGTTCTTAGGATCAGCAATCAACACCCAAGTTCTTAGGATCCACAATCAACCCAATCTTCAAGTACAATTGGTCTTCGGATGCGCAACCAAACCAACGCTTTCTAGGATGGTTAATCATGCACCAAAAGGCCCTCACAGCTGAGAATGTCCTAATTAGACTTTGGCCGTGCGATTGGATATGCTCTTTGTGCACAAACGCCTTTGAAAATACATATCATCTATTCAGAGCCTGCGAATACACAAGACAAGTTTGGAGCTCGATCTCTATATTAAGAGGAATCACAAAGACTCCACCACAAGAAACTATCACTAAGTGGGTTAGCACCATCTCTACTAATGGAACACCAAGACAAACAAGATGCAACTTGGGAACTTTGATCACAACATGGTGGCACTTCTGGATACAAAGAAATGCAAGAATTTTCCAAGGGAATTCTAGGAGTGTAGAAGAGGTTGTAAACCTAATTTTAGAAGACTTAGAACAAAATGAATTTTCTTTCAAGCCCCCGTGAATATCTTTTTTCTCCTTTCTTTAATTCAGTAGCCCTTTGTTCTTTTCTGCTTCTGCCATTGTAATAATTTTAACTTTTACTTGTCCACCGCTTTACTCCACCATATATATCATAATGGATTTATACCTTGTATTTCTAGTAGTTTTGGATTATGCATCAGTAAAAAAAAAGCAAACTACAACAGGTCAGACAACTTTCAAAAAAATTGAAAATTTGAATATGCACATTCAGATATGGCTGGATGCTCCAAACCATGCAAAGTGCTAATCAGCTAAACTAAATAAAGTGTTTAGAACATATAATTAAACATTGTTTAGAATGATATTTGTAACAAACAAGCTGTCCATACAAAGACACAAGCCGTATCAATAAAGGAACAAAGTACTTAGGTCCCTGTTTGATACACTTATCTTTCACCTTTTCCATAAAGAGGCAAGCTATTATAAATGGAAGGATTCTACAATAGCTTCTAAATAAGCCAATCGAGTTATTTCCACTAGTTTTGCATAACAAAGTTGGATTTTAATAGGCATAAGTTGTCCAAACATAGTCATTCCTTATCTCCATGTTTAAGCTAATTTAACCATCCTTTGGAAACAAAAGGAACCAAATTTAGCAAGACACTTGATACATGGTGGCTCTGATGTCATCAACAATATTCTTGGCATCCATGGCAATACTGACCAATCCTCTCCTTGCAAACCCAGCACAATAGAGCCCATTTTCACCTCTCCAATGATTTGGAAATTTTTTCTTGGGAAAACCATCATTTCTAAACATGCTTTCACCATTCTGACAACAGCAAAAAAAGGATTATCCATTTGCAGTAATGAAAAAAAAATGATGTATGCTACAACAATATTATTGTCTAAACTAAGAGATTTGAAAAAAAAACTACCAATAATCTTTGTACCTTTAGCCATGTATTAACTGTGCTTTTGTAGCCCGTGGCAAACACAATGGCATCAAATGGAATTTGCCTCCCACAATGAAATTCAACATTGTTTGCATTTATCTTCAATATTCCTTCGAGCACCTAATAAATACATAAAACAACGGTGTTAAGGTTCGTCACATCAATTGAGGCTAAAAACTTCACTATCACCAAGCAATTTACTTTTATATCTTAAGAGTAGATGCACAATTACGTCGATAACTCCTCTAGTGATTAATTTTGCAGTGCCGACATCAATGACAGCAGATTTGCCAGTTTGTGACTTCAGTAAGAGAGGGCCCATTTTAGGCCTCATAATTCCATGCTTTGACAAGTCCCAAAAAATTAATTTTGCTGCCATTACAAGAAGAGGGTCCACAATTGTCACTGATAGGCCTAGATTTTGCACCATTGTCATCCCAAAACGTATTAGTTCTTTTGTCATTATGTGTACCTGCATTCAAGTTGCCATGAAACCATTATTATTTAGGGGGGAATATGTAGCTAGAAAGTGAGAACAAGTCGGCCTTGGATAATATACATAGAGATAGATAATAATATTCTTGGATAGAAATAAAGTTAAACGTTGAGAAATTTTGTACTACATCGATAATTCCCAGTTATATATGCATAATGGAACTACCATATTTCAACACTACTTAGATAGTCTACCTTGCAAAGAATCAGAACCCAAAATGAAGTGCATAAATGCAAGATGAATAAATATGATGTACATACCGGGCTGCGAACAACTATGGAGGTGTGGGCGCCATGTGTGGCAAGGTCGTAGGCGATCTCCATGCCAGAGTTCCCGGCACCAACAACAAGCACACTCTTCCCAGTATAGCCATTCCCGGATTTGTACGCTGATGAGTGGATAGCTTCTCCCTCGAACCCGGCGAGGCCAGGGACTAGTGGAATGCTTGCTGCGCTTTTCTCACCGGTGGCCATGATGAGGAACCGTGCAGTGAGTCTTGCTACAACACCGGTGTCAGTGTCCTGTGCTAGCACAGCCCAATGCTTCTTTCCTTGATCATATGTTGCTGACTCGACAGAGGTATCGTACCTTGGTTGGATCCCAAATCGGTCAGTGTAGCTGTCTAGGTATTCCACAAAACTCTCCCTGGGGACGTATGTCGGCGTGCCAGAGGGATACGCCATGTGTGGCAACTCGCAGAATTCCTTGGCGAGGTGCAATTTGAGGCGGTCATAGGTACGGTGGCGCCATAACGATGCGGTGCATGACTCACGCTCAATAATGGCATAGGCGACATGTTGCAATGTGAGGCATGCTGCCGTCGCTAGGCCTGCCGGCCCCGCACCGATGATGAGAACAACCACCTCCTCCATTGCCTCAATTGCTCATAATCACGTAACACAATGCAACTAGTGAACTGAAGTGGAGAACTGTAGTTAGTGATGTTTCCATGATACATACTAACGAGGAACATGGGTGTATTTGTAGTATGAAAAATGGGACGGATCATATTGGTAGAAATTATAGCAGGTAATGCATTTCTGGATTTGGACGTAATGTTTAATGAATCCACTAAATGCATTAAATGTGTACTAATGCTTGGGTTCTTATTATTATCTTGTTGCATTTATATATTGATATGATGATATCACATCATTTATGATTTGAAAAGGATATGGACAAGGTGTCTTCAAATACATTTATTAATTTCCAATGATGAGGCATATCTTTCTACCTACCTACCTACTCTATCTACCAATATTTATACATATATTAATTAGACACTTTCTACGAGTTCCCACGACATCAGATATATTTGACCATTGAATAACTAAAACATCTTATGTTAACTGTATATTATTAATCTCTATTATTTAATGTCATGTCCTAATGGGCCTTGCAAACCCATCTAATCTGTCTCCAACGTAAGTACGCATTCTTTTTCTTTCGGCTTATGTACGTGCCTTTTGTTTTAAAAAAATCTATTGCCGTAGCATACAGTTGATATTTCTTACGGTCACAAATAAATCAGCAAGTGCACGGATACTACTATAGTATTTCATCTAGGAGTATTCCAAGGGTACCATATTTATATTTCCGCTGGGAGGGCGACGGTGCAAAGATAAAGTTCATACATTCTTTAATCAAGTTACAATCATATTACATAGTCTGAACATGGGTTAATTGATAAATGATAGTGGGTAGTGTGACACACAAGAGATGCGTCTCTAATAAATACACACTAGGCAGTGGAGAGGAACTGTAGAGAGCTAAGGTTCATATGTACTTTTATATTACTAATATTTAATTTACACTTAACACTTTCATGATTAAGCTAGGACTTATTTCTAGGCACCCATGTACTACTGAGAGACCACTCCCTATTGGTCTTCCAGTGTGTTTATAGCGTTTTTATGAACCCCTACATATCCAGACATGGAGGAATACAAAGGACAAACAAGACTGTCACCACCTACCACCTACCTCAATTTTGTGGGGCATACCTGCATCCAATGACATTTAACTAACCTAACCACCATGCTTATGTAAATAAATAATGTGACTAATTCCCCCGGGACTCTCACCCTTTGGATGGCTAAGTTAGAACTTGTGCAACCTCATTTGACCATTACCGTAGTATAGAATTGACTAGCCTAATGGGTGCACCTAATGGGTGGGTGATCGCTCCGCTCGACCCTCCCCTATACCCCTATACGCTCTCTCCCCCTTCCTCCTTCCCTTCTTCCCTTCCTACTACAGTACACCATAAAATTTAAAAAAATAAAAAAAAAGTTGAAAAAATTTATGTATAGAAATACTATATATAAAAAATATTTGAATTCAAATTCAAATTTAAAATGGATATGTAAACTTTTGACTTATAAACTTTGGGTCTATAAAGTAATATTTGAATTCAAATTCAAATTTGAACGGGTATGTAAACTTTTGACTTATAAACTTTGGATCTATAAACTAATATTTGAATTCAAATTCAAATTTGAAACGGGTATGTAAACTTTTGACTTGTAAACTTTGGGTCTATAAACTAATATTTGAATTCAAATTTAAATTTGAAACGGGTATGTAAACTTTTGACTTATAAACTTTGTGTCTATAAACTTTAGGTGTATAAACTTTAGATGTATAGAAATACTATATATAAAAAATATTTGAATTCAAATTCAAATTTGAATCGGATATATAAATTTTTGACTTATAAACTTTGGGTCTCTAAACTTTAGATGTGTAAACTTGAGGTGTACAAACTTTAGGTGCATAAATTTACTAAAATAGGAAAGTAATGCGGTACCAAAAAAGGAAACCACGTGGAGGGAGGAGGGGGGATCGGCCTGATCGCCCCGGGCGATCGCTCGCCCAGTAGCAATCTCGTAGCCTAATCAGGTGAAGCATATAAATGAAGTATAAACCGGTGAAGCTAGTATATGAACTGTGAACACTAATAAGTAAAGAAGATAATTTCTTGATTGCAACTATAGTCTTACAAGAAGAGTAAAGTATTAAAAATATACCAGAATCTCCAAGAAGACTATAGGAACAAAGACTATTCTAAGCCTAACTCTCCTACTACTTGAGAGAATACAATATATGTGGAATGAGAGAATTGCTGCTTGAAGTGTATGTTGTGACATGAGAAACTCATCCCTATTTATATCCTTGTAATGATGGCTGTATGGCGGTTGGAGGCTGGGATCCACGCATAACCGCTATTGAGAGTGGCTGAGGGAGTGACACGTGGATCGTGGATATGAGAGGAGGTGAGGTCGGTTTGGCCCTAGGCCCTACCCCTCTCAACCGCCTTTCACAAGGGGATGACATGTGGGCCCCTATGGCATTTCGTAGTGATTTGGCTCCACTTTAGGTCGGTTTGATCTGACTTATGGGCTCATCAATTTGTGTGCTCGCACGTGATTCGCCGGAGGTGTGTTTCTTCGCATGCCAGCTATTTCTCTTTCACTTTAGTGTATGATTCCTGCATCCGTATTAGTTCTCCAATAGAAGTAGAACTACATCATTTATAAATAATATACGTGTAAGAAATGTTAGTTCTCCCTTTATTTATTTTGATAGTTGAAGGTCGATAGCGGCACTTAACGACTGTTTACAGATACCTCTGTTATCGTATGAATTACATTGTTTTGAAGGTTTGCGCCAACCATTAATTTGTTATTTAATTCAATTTCTCATGAAATGTGGGGTACTTTTCACGTGCCCACTGTTTTCATGATGAGTAGACCAATAAATTAAATCTTAACTCTATAAATTCTAATGAATTAAAAAATAGAATTAAAATTTTGCAAGTAAGAATTTTTTTTATTGTGTGTAGTAGAGCATAAAATATTATTTAAATAACATATATTTTGAGTATATCAAATTTTCCTATACTAGTTTAGCTCTTTGGAGAGGTATTTTGAGTCTTAAAATGATCTATTGATTAGTTGGATTTAATTATTATGAGTGTATCAATCAAATTTAGAATAAAATCAGCTATTGAAAATATCGTGGATTTTTTAGTTTTTACTACCATTAACGTTGTAGTGTTAAATATCCTAAAACATAATAATTATTAAATTTTCAAAAAATAAAATATTAATAAAGTCGTACCATCTTGGACCCTTAATTTAGTAGTTTCTTAAATTAATTTGAAATTTAAAATTAATAATTATCAAGTTGTAATTGACACAACAATCCTCTTTGATGAGCTAGGGCCCACCATATGCTGGGTAGTGGTGCACGGTCCAGTGGGCCACATCCACCTTGAAAGAGCGTATATGCCCCAAGTGTGTTTTGGTAAATTGATGATGAACGATTAACAGACTAATGCACTTATTGAGTGTACAAGGAAAGGGTTAGTCCAATGAAGAGCCGATGAAGATAATGAAGAAGAAGATGTGATATAAACATATTCCATTGTGATCCAAGGCTACAAGTAATAGAAGATGGCAAGATGTGGTGAAGGGTTGGCAAGACTTGGCTATACGATGGACATGGGAGAAGGGCAAGCATCGGCTAGTGCCGAAGGATCCGACGTAGTGTTGAAGGAGCAAATGCTTTGCCGAACAATAACGAACAGATCGAGGCCATGGGATGTCACACGTTGTTGAGGATCAATCCTTGGTGAAGAAGAAGCACAAGATCAAATGTCGAAGATCAAGATAATGTGATTCATTGATGAACATCAAGTCAAAAGCCATAATAGCATTGATCAAGGCAAAGAAAGAAGATGATGTGAAGATATTTGTATTGGTATAGCTTTTCTATTTGCTCTTGAGTTGGTAGGAAAGCCGTACTATAAAAAGGGATGTTGCTTTGAGTTATAGGAATGAGTTTGGTGCTCAAAAATCACATTGAAGTGTTTCTCATTCTCGGATTTTACATTATGGTGATTTTTGGAATTTCCGAAAAGGCCGTGCCATGAAAAATGCTCTCTGATGATTTTTAAATACTCATGAAAGTACTTTTCAGAATTTCCTAAATTGATATGTCCACAAATTGCACTCTAGTGTTTTTCGGATATTTCCGAAAGTGCATTTCAGAATTTTGAATTTTTGTAAGTTGATTTAGCTCTTATGTGATTTTCGGAATTTTCCGAAAACGGTTTCCGAAATTTCAAGAATTGCAAAATTTGTGAAAAAGTTCTCTAGTGATTTTTGGATTTTTTCCAAAAATATTTTTGAAATGTAATTTTCCCTCTTTTTTTTGGCTGAGTTCGTGCTAAAATTTTATGATGTTCAGAATTTCCGGAAAATGGAATCTTTGCCTACAACGGGTATATCTCAGGAAGTGGCTATAAATAGCCCCTCCACCCCCAATTCAAGGTTGCTGGTCCAATTGCTTATCTTGAGCATTGCCTTCTCACCTACTCCACCAATCTTCAATCTTGGATTTCGTGTGTATCAGTGGTTGATTTGAGTTTGTTTGAGTGCTTGGTGTTGACTTCATGAAGATTTATTAAGCACTCGATTCATCCTGAAGAAATTTTAGTCGTATTTATTACTCATGGTGGTTGAGGACACCTAGATGGCTAGGAGTCAATCTCGAGACACCGATTTATTTGTGGTGTGCTGAGGGATGTGAAGGTTAGATCTCACCTCTGAAAGGAAAAGAGATACACTTAGTGGAATGAGGAGTATATTTGTGCAACCTCACGAGGATAGGGTTAGAAAAGACCCGACTTATTGTGAGCTCCTCAACGGAGAGTAGAATCCCCTAGAGGATTTGAACTTCGGGAACATACCATCTTACAAGAATCCTGGTGATATATCTCTCTCACTCTTCTAGCTTTGCTATTTAGAGCCGTTAGTAGTTTTGTTGCTATTTGTGTGGCTATCCCTTTTTTACTTGCCTTGCTAGCTTGCTTCACGAGGAATTTCAGAATATCCAAAAATATCCTGGAATATTCGTAAAGTTTAGCTTTCG